ATTTATAAAATAGTAACATATATGCAATATATACATTTCTACTATTTGTACTAGTACAAATAAAAAGAAAATTACATGCAAAAATAAAAGCTCAGACAATTAAATAAATCTAATTTATCTGTGACTATTATATTTTATATATTATTTTTTTTATTTTTTTTTTTTAAGCAGTTACGCTAGTGCTTTATTAAGATTTTTAAAACTACTACTGTAATTATATAAATTTATCTAACAACTAAGCCTAGCATTACTTAATTACCCTAATAATACCTAAATGCAACCTGCTACATTACTTTTAGCAGAACTAAGCTGCTTGTTTAACTACTTAAAGTCTGTAATGAAAAGGTCTTCACCCTTTTATGACAAGCTTGTTAATTGTCTTTCTAACTTTTTTTTTTATTCACTTTTCTTTTTCTTTTGATTTTTTTTTTTTCTTTTATTGCTTACTAATTAGCCTTTCTTTTTTTCTTTATACTTGACTTTTCTTTTCTCTTTAGTCTTTTTTTTTCTTTTTACTCATTATTTCTCTTTTTTTTTTTCATATATTAACCTTTTTACAACAGATTCTTCAGACTTGTTTATAAAATGTATTTCATATTGTTTCTGCTAATATGTTTGCAAAATGTTGTCTTGTTTTTATACTTAAGATTTGAGATAATCTGTTTTGCATTGTTCTTAGGATTAGACCTTTAATTAGTACTTTCCTTATTTCTATTTCCTCTTACTCTATTTGTCCAAAAAGTGCCATATATAATACTTGAGATGGGACTTGCATCTTTTCTTCTTCTTTTAAACTATTTTATGCTATCATGATAAATACTTTTTTGTATCCTTTTTCATAAATTTGCTTGTCCCTTACATAATGCCAAATATTCTTGTATTTCTTTAACTTTGCTTTGGCAAACTTAGCATTTTGCTATTGTATATATATCTGGTCTTCTTTTATTAAGTAGCAGCAGAGAGAATGAACAGACTTTTTTGCATGTTTTTACACCTTTTCTTCCATGAGTTTTTTTCGTCAGTCTATTAAAATTGATACTAATTTTTTGGTATTTTTATACGAAGTGAACATAAATCTTTTGTCATTCGACTAACGAAGCAAATATAAATCTCTCATTAATCACATCATTATTTGTATAAAAACTTCTTTTTCTGACTTCGAGTGATGAAGTTACAAAAAAGTGGGCTTAAAAAATAGTGACTAATTGTAGTATGTTTTTACACCCTTCAGTTTGCAAGTTTTTAAAGCTAAAAATCATTAAAATCAGTACTAATTTTTTGGTGTATTTTTATATCTTCTGTTTGCAAGTTTTTCTAACTACAAGCATATATGTGAGAAGGTAGGATTAAGTTTCATTTTGGCTTTAAACAGTATCTGCGAGAAGGCGAAGCTGGCAAGAATAAAATTGCAAGTTATAAAACCTTTTCCTCCTCTAGTTCGGAAAAAAAGAAAATTAGTTAACTATATCTATCTAAATATGAACTTGTAAGTAGACAGGATATATAAGTGAAATAAATATTTTTTATTTAAACAAAGGATCTAAATAATCAATATATAATAAAAAAAACTGAAAAATATGGTAGGTAAATGTTTAGGATATAGATGGAGTCCTAAAACTGAGAAAACAAAAGATCTTAATAAGCATATGGACTTAACACAATTCAGACCATATTGGGCTCTCTTGCAACTAACACAAGCACAAAATATATTTCAAACTAGAAACACTATTCAAGCTCCAGTAGACAATTTAGCACTAGCCTCCAAAGGCAATTTAATATCATTTGACAAAAACCTGCCAATACAGCAGCCAGCCCAGCTAAGTATGCCAACAGTTGATCTTTTAACTGATGATATTCCAGAAGCAGATCCTGAAGCTGGTCCAGGTTCTAGAATACAAATACATAGAAAGCAAAAAAAGAAATTAGTTTTAACTATAAATGAACTAATAAAATGGTTATTAAAACCAAAAATAAAAAATAACAAAAAAATTAAATCCAAATTAGTTTCTAAAACAGATAAAGAATGGTTTGATCTAATAAAATCAAATATTAGTGAATCTAGTAATCCAGAACCTTAAGCTTATTATTTTCTAGATTTGGATATAGAAGTATCTTGGCCCATCCTATTTCTAAAAAATAAAGAGCATCATGAAGTATGGCAAAATGGTATTCAGTATGCAAAAGATATGTTTAAAGTGGATAGAGCCAAATATGCATTCTCAATCTGGTTTATAGATACTGAAGAACATAAATTAGAAGCTGGAATGACCAAAGAGTGGGCCTGAGAAATTTCAAATGCAATTGATAATAGTAAGTATTTAATAAGACTAAAATTTATTCAAGCCGATGCAGTAATATCAGATAAGAAAACAAAAAGAGGTTTTAAAATTATAAATAAATATGAATTTATTTGTGAGTCGAAAAGGGCAAATAGTAAATATATAAAAGATGGTCCAAATGTTATACTTACAAAGAAAACGAAACCAGATTTTTGGATAGGAATAGATAAAAAATTTCTGATTAGAGAAGTCAGTAGGCAATCTGAGGTAGAGGAACTTGATAGTAATACAGTAGTTTATGGATTGTATCGAATTTAAGTATTAGATATTAATCTATTAATACTTATGAAAAATAAAGCACTTAATTGTATAGCATAATGAGTAATAAAGCATTTTGATCAAGCAAAAAGAGGGCATGAACTCACAAAAACTCATTGGCAAAAAATTGATACATAGAAAAAAAAGATGTATATTTCTGATGCTCGAGTACAAGATGTAGCAGAATTGGAAAAAAATCTTAAATGACTGATTAAATTGCTTGATATAACCCATGCCACTATCTTTAATAGCAAAAAATATCAATCAAGTAAGTATGAAGAAATAGAGATGATAGTTCATAATGGTCATGCATTTCTGAGAAACCAGCATTTTCCAAGAGACCGAATGGTTGAATATTATCTCTTAGGTTGTAATACAGGCAAATTTGCCTGCATTAATTTTTTTAAAATTAATTTTTATAATAAAATTTTAACAATTAATTTTA